GGCTGGGGCTGCCACCAAGGTGCCCTCCGTCGCTCCCAGCTGGGAAAGTCATGGGTGCAGTGCTCCACGTGGCACCGGGCACATCAGCCCCCTGCCCGGGGGTTCCCTGAGCTCCCACTACCCACCAGGGCCCAAAGACAGGCTGTGTGATTTTGGACGAAGCGTCTGCTGTTCCTCCTCTCCTCCCTCCAGCGCCTCCCATTCCCCAGAGAAAGACAGCGCAGCTCCTCCGCCTTGCTGCAGTTTCATAAAAACATACATAAATATATTTCCATTTCTTTAACAGAGAGCAAAGCTGCACAGGCACCTATAAAACACAGTCACTTCTCCACCCGGCCCTCCCTGCACAGGTCGTATAAAACATATAAAAGGGGGGTGGGAGAACAAGGCTGTGGGTGAAGCAGGGGTAGGGTGCCACGCAGACCCTTGCCAGGGGGGCCAGCTGCACCGCTGGCCTCAGGCCTTGCGTTTCCTCCGGCGGCCGCCTCTGGTCTGCTGCTGCCTGCCCGAGCCAAGAGCCACACGCGGCTCCAAGTCCTCCGCATTGTCCCTGGCTTCCGAGGAGACACTGGGTTTCGCAGGGGAGACGTCGAAAGGAAGGTGCAGAAGGGAGCTGGGGCCGTCTCCTGCTTGCCCCCCAGCTCTGGCTGAGAGTGCAGGAGGGGACTGTTGGTCTCCTAGTCCAGGGAGGGGGGTCCCCGCATCAGCACCTGCAACGAGAGCGCACATCAGCCCTGCGTGGCTGCCCTGCGGTGTGAGCCATGAGCAAGGGGAGGAGGGGGCTGCCGCGAGCATTTCTCCCCACTTGGGTCTCCTCCTGTCCTTGGATCGGTGGAGGGAAGCACCGGTGTGCAGGCAGGGATAGCAGCACCCTGCCACCCTGCCAGGAAGCTGACGTCTCTTGGACGGCTCAGAGAACACCCCTGCCCCTGCGAAGGCTCTGGAAGAACAGAGCCCTTCAACGGGAATCTGCTGTCCCAGCACAGCCCACGCCGAGCTGGGACCGAAAGGGGAGAGCTAGGAAAGGGCAGCCCTGACCCAGCCAGGCAGGCCCAGAAAGCAGTTTCCCACCTGCAGACTTGTTCTCCGAGAGCTCCAGCATCCTGAGGAGTCCCCTCTCCCGCCTTCCAATGTCCTGCCAAGGAGAGGAGAACCACCGTTACAGCACTGCCGCCAGGGAACCCCAGAGCCAGGGTGGCCCCGTGGCCACACATTCCCCCAGCCCACGGACTCAGGCTGGGCACAAGAGGGAATGCTGCATTTCCAGGGCCTCCAGCTGAACATGGCCAGCCACCACTGGGAAGAGCACTGCCCCGTGCCCAGCCTGACCAGCGCCTGAGCAGAGGCAGCCAAGATCAGTTAAAGCAGAGCCCGGTAAGGAGGGAGGCCAGGGTGCAGGAAGCCACCCCCTTGCCCAGCCAGCAGCACGGGGCTGTTACAGAGAAAGGTGGGCACCAGGGGCTCAGGCACAGCTCGGGCACATCCCCCAGGCACTGTGCCTCCGAGGGCAGGCTCTGTCCCGCTCTGTCCGAGGGCACAGGGGCTTGGTGCTGGAAGGAAGGGCCTTCCTCCAGGGCACAGACAGATGAGGAACACGCATCTTGTGCCCTCTCTCAGCCCCTGGGAAGATGCAGCCGCACTGGTCACATAGGCTAAGGGAAGCCCACTTGGCCTGGCTGCTTTGAGCCTTGCTGGCCCAGCAAAGTCCCCTCTCCTGGCTGCTCCCTGCCCCCAGAACTGATCTAGAAGGCACTGGCATCCCAGCTGCGGGGCTGGAGCTGCAAAGCACCCCAAAACGGGCTGTGGCAGGAACCTGCAAGCCCAACAGTGCCAGTAGGAAGCTTTCCAACAGCCCAGCCCATGCCCAGCCACAACCCGCTCCCCCAGCAAGCCACCACCTCAGCACAAGGCAGGGCCAGAGGAAACACAGAGCCTTGCCGAGCCGCCCCAAAGAGCCGCCCGGCTCCAGCACCTTTCCCGCACGCCCTGTGCCTGTGTGCAGGATCCCGCATGCCAGCCGGCTGTGGGGCACCAGGACAGAGTCAAACGGCCCTCACGGAGCCGGTCACATGCAGGAGCAGCCGTGCCCTGCAGTATTCTGAACCACACAGCACTTGGCTGTATCCCAGCCAAAATCATCAACCAGAAATCTCATCATTTGCATCTGAATCCCCAAAGGGCTGAGGCCTGTGATGGATTTAAGGGATTATAGCAAACTAAGACATCATGTTGCATCTTCATGCTGAGAATCACATTTCTGAGCACAGACAAAGCTGCAGCACTAGGGCTTTGCCCACAGGAACCAGCGGGAAGGCCTGGAAGGACCCTCTCTGCTCTCCCCCAGGACCGCCACACCACGAGCAGGAAAAAGCACGGCGGGGGGCCAACA